GAAGCAAAAAAAAAAACAAATAAAAAATAAAAAAAATAAAGAGGAAAGAAAAGGCAAAAAGAAGAATGGAGAAAAAAGTGTAATATAATTAAAGTAAAACAAAAAAAAAAAAATTTGAATAAGTTTCGAGAAAAAAGTCAAAAAGTTAAAAAATCGACAGCACAGAAAAAGGGCCAAATTTTATCTTTCATTTCATTTTCATTTGATTTCTTCATTCACACAACTAACGTTGTCATTTTCAGGGTCAACACTTTATTTTTGGCAATCAGACGACCAGAATCAGATGTTGAAAGACGGGGGCGAAAAAATGAATAAAATTCTTCCACTTCTGTTTCCTTCAGTTATTTTTCTCCTTCCCTACCATCTGTTTGCTCCTTTCAGACAACAATTTCAGCAGCACTTAGCAAATTGTTTACGGTTCCAGTCTAATCACACTACTGATCATACAGTTGGCAAAATAAATAAATAAGTAAATAAATAAATGAAAACCATACTACGACTAAACAGACTACTTCTAACAACTTTCTAACCTTTTGTCATGTAACACACACACACATATATATTTTTTGCTAAAGTGAACCCTTCCAAAATTTGGTATGAAAATTCAATGGACACTATGTACCCATGGACCAGCTGATATGCTTATGTGACATAAATTTCTTAAGCATTTTCAATCCAATTCCGAACCCCCCCCCCGGCACCATAGTCAAATAATCTGTGCTGCAAACACGCAGATAACCTGCCACAACTTTTCCAGCCTTCAGTTCCAAAATTACTCCATCTGATAAGAAAACCAACAATGCTGATTATTTTTCCCTCATCAGTCAGACGGACCCCGATCCATTTCAACGGCAGAATCCATTTAGTCAACCGAAAAGCATTAACAAAAACGACATCGTCCGTCGGTTACGCAACTATGTTAAGCGAGGATAAATACTGCTTATTGAGAGAAAAACAACGATATCACCGCTGCAAAAACTGCAGAAACAAATCGATAGAACAAACAGAAAACGGAATTTGACATGCTTCAGAAATCTTAATTAATTTCGCAAAATAGAAAAAAAAAACTAAACACCACAAAAGACTGTTTGCAGTAAACAAATAAAAAAAACAGATAAAAAGATAAAAAAACGAACAAAAAACAAAACAATATAAAATGAAAATACTTTTTTTCTCTTTTTCACAAACGTATGAAAAAAATAGAAAGGAAAATGAAAAAAAACGTGCAAGAAGAGGAATTTTCTCCTACACTTTTTTCTCCTCTATTCTTGTTTATCAAAATGAATAAAAATAAGCAAATAATTAAATAAACAACCCAAATTGGGTGTTTTTGCAATAGAGAAACAAAAATAACGACAACAATTTCTTTTCAAAAAAAAATGCACCAACAAATTGTGTGTCATCGATGATATTATTTCAACTTTACCGTATTCAACAACAACATCGAAAAGAAAAAAATGAGGAATATAAAACCAAAAAAAAGGGGAATAGAACCCAAAGAAACTAATAAAATTAAGTTCTATAAAACTAAAAAAACATGTATTTTAAAAATGCATGTTTTTTCTTCTTTTTTTTTCTTCCATGCAAATGGTTCAACATACCATTTTGATTAGAAAAGAGAAAAAAAAAGCTAATTTTGACCTTTCTGATGAATAATAAATCAGATAAAATAAAAATGAGAAAGAAGCAGAAAGCTACTGGACTCAGAAGCAGAAAGAATATTTAGCAATGTCAAAATATTTTGACATGAAAAAAAAAACAACATTTCTTTTCTTATCCATACTTCTAAAACATTTAATTCAATTTTGTCGTCAACATTTCTTAGTTTTTTTCCGCTTTTCTACAATAACTTCTTTCTCCCCACCACTCCTACCCTATATTCTAAGGCCAGCGGGAAGAGGGCAAAAAAGTAGACGGGAGCTTACAAACGAAAAAGATGGTTGGGAATGAAAGGCAGAAGTGAAGAACAAAAGTTGCTAGACGTTCTTTAAACGTTTAAAAATTCGTCTGATTGAATTCGATGAGATAACCGAAAGCGATTACCACATTGCACGATCATCCACGAATGTTTGAAGGTACTCGTAACTCAGTGCTTGATGGTTCGCTAAAAGTGGATGACCGGATAACCCTTTTTTGGCTATAGTGAAGCACTCCACAGAGAGGTGTGTCGCTATGAAATCAACTGACACCATAAAAAAGAAAGTTTCACGTGAATCTGCTATACCACTAGCAACATTCAGAAAAAGATCACTTCTGTCATAGATGGCTACCAGCATCAAATTTAGCAGCACTTGGGCATAAAATTAACTGATGATCCATTCACTTGCTGAAAGAAAAGATGGCATTGATCAGTGAGCAGTGTCGGCGGTGGACAGAGGTGAACCATCAAAAATCAGATTTTGTTAGCGTTGGTGTCGTCGGTTTGTCGGATAGGGTGGCTACGACAATAGGAGAACAGAGAAGACAACCAGAAACAGAAATTGAGCGTAAAAATTGACATCAAAAATCTGTAACAGAAAAAAACTGATTTTTTGAAGCGCTTTTTTTCGGAGACAAAAAAACTAAAAAACTTAGTTTTCAAAAAAAAAATTTTTT